TGCTGTAGACCATGGGCAGGCAGTGAAAAAAAAGATTTCCTCCCTCTAAGTCCCTTTTTGGCAATGCCTGCCAAAAAACTGGGCCGAGCAGCTTTGCAAAAGGAAAGGAAAGGCAGGCAAGCAGCCGATCCCTCTTTCTGTCTACATGGCGAAATGAAATAGGCTCGTTTAGCCAAAGCTTCCACGGTCAATGCAAGGTTCTGATAGAGGCTTTGGTAAGGTGAAATCCCTTCTAAAAGGCTCTGTTAGTGACTGTTGGACTGCTGTTTATCGCAGGCTGTTGTCTCCTCCTCCAGTTTCTGGTTCAAGGTGGGTGTTTTATCAAACAGTATGACATGGACTGTCTTCTTTTCTGTCATTTTCTTTAGCAGGGTCTTTGTGCCCACTACCTGGTTTAAGTCCAGCAACAAATAATCTTCCTCCTGGATTTTCACCTTTGGCCAAAGACTCGAAGGTTTCCTCATATATCGAATGAAGCACGTTTTATTTCCCTGTCATTTTCTGATACTGAGCCCCTGGCTCCTCACACAGGTAAACAGTGGTGGTTGTTTATCACTTTGTGCCAAGCCCTGGCATGCTCAGGGAGAAGATGTTGTTGACCTTGAGTTAAAATAGAGCTCTTATCATTAGCTGTCTTGATTGACAGCAGGGTGTTTATGAGCAGACCTTTTTTCCTTCATCTCTGGGGGTTTAGAGCTCCTGCCAAGAGGTGACTCTTTATTGACTCTTTCTTTCTGTATTTCTTTCTCTGAAATGCTTTTTCTTTATTTCCCCATCCTTATTCGCATTTAAAAATTGATAATTCTGTAACAGCATCACTTCATATCAAATGCTTTGCAGCATAGTGACACGCAGAATAGTGTCTGTTTGTATTGATGCTGTATTGTATTGATACTAATAAATACACTTGCCCTTATAAAATGTGGTTTTGGGAATAATTAGTCACAAATCGATGAAATCATAACTACTGCTCTGGTTTTCCCTTGACATCAAATATTTACATACATCTACTAAATGACGTAACATTTTCTTCACACTCTGTAACATTAAATCAGACTTCTTCAGATAGGAAGACCAGAAACCTTTCTATTTACCAATGCAAAAGTGGTAATATATGGGGTTTATTTAAGGCAAAACTGCAACTATGCTGTTAACTTGTGTTAAATTGGAGGAAAAGCAAGAAAAACATGCCCAAAATCTGAAAAGAGTTCTTGGTTCTTCCATATGTGTAATGTTCAGATGGATAAAGGTGCCAGATTAATCCATTCAAAATGTTTTACAGATACGTTTACAGAAGGTTAAACATGATAGAAAAGAGATTGGGTATGTGTCCCAGAGGTGGAGGTATTTTGGTCTGTACCAAACCCAGGGGAGAAGCAAAAGACCTCGCAAAAGTCCTGGTTAAGGTTGGCAAGAAATGTATTCACTTAGCAGAAAACAAACCAGTACCTGCGTGGGCTAAAAGACAACAAAGACGCTTTTATACCGAAGCAACAGAAAATTAGACAGTAGTTTCCAAACAGATACCTAACCTTGAATTTTCAAAACCATGTCCAGTGGTTGAAAACTATCCTGTTGTTATATTTGGAAGAGAAAAGGTAAAGGAAGTTAGCAAGCCTTAGAAAAACCTAGCTAATTATAATGTACAAAAGTAGCATCAAATATCCTTCTTTCTATTAATACCAACAAATCGTCTTTCTGTACAGCTTCACCCACTTTTTAGGCTTTTCCATTATGGTTGCATAATCATGTTCTCAGTTGTAGTACCTGCTTAGATGCAGTTTCAACCGTGACGGGTCCTGTTGAAAATGTAAAGTCAAAGCACTGCTGGTCTTGGAGTGGAGCCTCTGGTTTTATGGGGATATTTGACATCATGGAAATTATAGTTAATAACCTCACCATTAAACCGACGGGCTTATTGTGTGTATGACCGCTACAGCAAGTTAGCATTATCTAACGCTTGTGTCGTCTAGCTTGTATCCTTTAATCCCGCCTTTATCCAGAATGCCTCATGATGGAGGGCCTCTGGCTGTCTCTGAGTCTAACTAAAATGATAATGGAAAATAGAGCTGACATGAACAGAAACAAGGCAAATAGATTTGGTGCCGATACTGAAACACAAAAAATTGCTCTTTTAAATGGGCAGTGAGCCTAAACATACCACCAAATTAGCTATGGAGTGGAGTATGGACTGCAAGGCAGTGTTTTGGACTCGACCACTATGTGATTTTACTTCGATAGACAATGTATGGGTGAATCTGAACGCTGGCATTCGCAGTTGGTGCAAACCTGACTCAATTGTTGCTTCCTAAAAACATATTTATGACTATTTTTGGTCATGTTTAAATCTAAGTTGTATGTAAGCGTAGTTATCTCTGCCTCCATCAGCTCCTCTTCTTCTAATAAGTAATCAGAGGTGGGTAGAGTACACATAAATTCTATTATGAGTAGCAATACTACATATTTTTACTAAGTAAAAGTGAAATAGCCATCACAAAAATTACTCAACTAATAGCGGAGGTGTCAAGTAACGAAGTACAAATATTTTGTTACTGTACTTAAGTACACTTTCTAGGTATCTATACTTTACTCCACTACTTATTTTTCTGTCTACTTCTGACTTCTACTCATTACATTTTCTCACAAGTATCCGTACTTTCTATTCCTTACATTGTTAAAACAAACATTACTTGTTACTCTTGGCTTCGGTTTAATGCAGAGGTCACGGATGAGCGAACCGCGGTCCGAATCCGGACCCACCTGCTGGTTAATCTGGACCCAACATGATTTAAAACATTTATAAATTTCCACATATTGTTTGACGACAGTGTCTAAACATCACTTGCGCCGCTTCCCCTGTTACCATGAATCCTACATCCTCCATCTCCGCTCCTGCACTAAGCAAAGCCTCCAGGCTGCGTTGTTTCTCCCACATTGCTCTGCTCCGACTTCTCCTCGGAGCTCGAGGAGAGCATGTGCGATATAATCATTAAATTTGTAGGAGCAAAACATCCAGAAATGTACACTTAATTTAATATCACATATTAAAATAATCCCCATCAGCATCCAGCATATGTGCGGTTTCTGATGGAGAAGAGAAATCTGCTTCCTGATCTGTTGAAGGACCAATAGTTTGCATCCAATCTTTTAAATAAACGGTTTTAGTTTTCAAATATATAAGAATTATGCTCTAATTTGAAGTTTCTATAATTTGATTTGACAAACCGGATCTTCTCACCGTTCTTTTTCCTGTTTGGTGCGATTGCAAATACACAGGAGCGAAGCCTGAACATTTAGAGTATGTTGGCTCAACCTGCTGCTGTGACACAGGACTCTCCACCATGAACAGAATTAGAAATAAACATGGATTCAGTCTCACGAATGAGCACCTTGATATATGCTTTAGAATGGCTTTGTCTCCATTCAAACCCAGGTTTAAAGCCTTGCAGGGCAGCATAAAGCCCACTGCTCATTAAGCCAGAAAAAAGAAAGAAAAATATAAACAAAGGGTCAGTTCAGGTGTTTTAAAAAATATGTGAGTCAGGAAAATGTCTATATACCAAACTGAATGATTGTTGTTCTCTGCTTCAAAAAACTTTAACACTTTAGATTTTAAAATGGAAAAATATTCTATTTTTTTTAATATTTTTTTTATTTAAAATTTTTATGTATAACATGGATGCATGAACACCTCATTTTATTTCAGTGTTAAATTCTGTTTATAGTTACACATCATTAAAAATGTCTCTGGACCTTTACTGGTTGATGATTTTCTTTATTCGGACCCTACTGATTTTTAATTAAGTACTCCAGCGAAATCCACATCTAGTGAAAACTAGTGTAATTGGATGAGTCATATAACACACATATAACACACTCATTGCAGGTGTCCTTCAAACTGCAAACATGAATTATCTATGCCATGCTACAATGTAGGATTCAGGAAAATATGTTGAAATGTCTGAAAGGTCGGACACAGGCGAGAGCGTATTGGGAGACGGAGACCAACAAGACCTCCCTCATCCTTGGCCCTATCTCAAATAATTTTTTTTCAAAATAGTCAAAAAATTGAGCTTTCAGTTCATATAGTGGCATCTGGCTGTTTTTTAAAGGTTGCTTTATACTTTTATACTTTAAGTAGTTTTCTGAGTACATACTTTTTCTCTTTTACTTAAGTAAAGAGGTCAAGTTGATACTTTAATTTTTACCTGAGTATTTTTAAACATTTCTCAAGTACTGAGTAACTCATTACAACACCCACTTTAATTAAGCAATAAGACTGTAATCTGGTATTGTAAACACTATTAGCAAAAAATAAAACAAAGGAATAATGTTACTGATAATGGATTATGGTATTAACAAATCCAGGCAGAAGAAATTATATTTTTTTTTTGGAAAAAACTTGTAAATCCAGTCCATTTAGTAGGTCACAGAGATGATAAAAGTGTAGAATACCTCCAGTGACATGATCTAATCCTTACATACACTATAATAGCTTGACCTTTCAAGGTTGGTTTACCAAATTGAAAGTAAGCTTGTTTACCTAATCATGATATGTGAAGATGAACCTATCTTGGGCTGGAGCACTGTTGGGGAGCAATATTTTAGTAAGATAATACTTATGTAAAAGTAAAAATGATTCTAAAAGTATATTTTTGTCTAAAACTAACTCAAGTAAATGTAACTGTTTACTACCCAAATAGCATCCTCACTAGTTTTACCTCCAATCAGCACATCTGGATTTTTTTAACGCTGACTGGAAGTTAAATCTTGCGGGGAAATGGGAAATGCTCTGAATATGTAGTTTTGATAATTTTAAGACAGTTTTAAGACAGTTGACTAAAAAGGAACTACCAACCAGGATTATATAATCTTGGGTTCTTGGTTACCAGTTACTGTCTCTTTAGGGGAGACAAGGATGGAGTTTAGATGTGTTCAAATATCATGCAATTACTTTCTATATCTTATCTTATATTTTGTTTTACTTTTTCTCTCCTCAGGTCCTTTGCTCTGTCCGGACCCCAGGAAACCCACTGGACTGCAGCTTCAGTCAGCTTCAACACTACCAGCTGCTGACAGTAGAGTTACCTGCAGGACCTCAGGGATCCAGAGAGGGCTTCTCCGCTGATAGCTGCGTTTATGAATGTGCACGAGGTCGCCTACAGCGCATATCCCTCACCACCATCCCACTGCCATCACCTCCCATCTCCTGCTCTCGGCACCCATCAGAGACCGCTCTCCTTCTAGGCTTGAGTGACTCCTCTTTAGTCCTCTACGACCAGAGACGGGCGGTCTCGGTCTTGGCCTCCTGCCCTGTACCGCCCTCCTACATGGCCTGGCACCCTACGGGGGCTGTCGCCGTTATGGTGGGGGGACAAGAGGAAGTGATGTGCTTTGATGTGGGCTTGGCACCTTTAAACATGGCACTGGTAGCAGAAGAAGCATCTCCAGCCGCTACATTGAGACTAACTCAGCACATGAACTGCTCCGGAGGCCTGGTTGGGCTGCAGTGGGGGGCTGGTTTTGACGGTGGCCCGGAGGGGACAGATACGCTAACATTAGTCTTTAATGGAGGACCACTAGTCGCCTTAAAATTCAGACTAGGTAAGTCATCAACATTTTAATAAAAAATTAACTTCTTTACGTTTATTTTACTAAAAATCATTGCATCGTATGAATAGATTCTGACCTCCTGGCTGAATGTTTGTTGATCTTTTCAGCAGGAAGCAGCGAACCAGTTAGCATCAGGTGATCTCTGTCAAATAGTAGATGTGGTTACGTCACCATCAATTATGAAAAATAATTCCCTAAATGGCAACCCTGCAAATGAAAAGAAACTCCCGTCTTTAGATACATTTTTACGCTTCGATGAGGTTGTTTTTTTTATCGTATCAAAATTGTTATATCTCGCAAAACAGCAATGGAAACACTTTTTCCTCATCACATGAGTCATGTGATCTGGAGCTGGACCTTACTGCCTTTTAAAAAGAAGAAGAAGACCGACAGTAGGTGGAGGATGATGGCGCCCCCCAGAGCCACAGCTGAAATATAGATATATTTGTGTGTTTAAATTCACTTCTGCCATGTTGTTCTTTGTCTAATCTGCGATAGATTAAATGAGAAGTGTGACAAAGTTCAACATGTGCCTCTGAAACTGGAGCATGCCTGCCCTGTATTTACTGTAAATATGAGCCCCTGATGGCTGCCCCTGTTTCCACCAGGCGCCCTGTTCCCTCCAAGTTCTCCGCCTCTGTTTTGGATCTGTGAGAACCAGGCTGGCGAGCGGGTCGCCCTGGTTAGAGAACCTCCCCGCTACAGAAGGAAGTTAATTCGTAGGGAAGGTTAGCGGGAGTCACGCTCTCAGAGGTCATTCAATAATCGCCCCGGGGCACGAGCTCCCACGCCCCCAGGTGCATTCTGGGATGCATTTTTCCGATAAATCGTTTACAGTGGCTGCACAGTCCCTCGGGAACCCTAGATAAAGTTTGCCAATCAAAGTTTATTCTGCGAGACAGACGTCTATCCCTGTCATTCTCACACACCAAGTTCTTTTAGCATCTTTAATTGGAACTTCGGAAAGATGATGTCATGTAGCTCTGCTGAAGTTTGAAACGAGGCAGGTTTGTTTGGGGGGGGGCTAGTAAATGTGTGTGCTGTTTGTGCATGTGCCCAGGAAGGGGGGGTTGGGGGGGATCTTCCAACAATAGCTTCGACTCCTCTGATCCTCTGCCAAGGTTTCTGATGAAGAAAGTGACTGCACGTCTTTTCTCTATGATAATTCCCCCAACATACGCATGCACATTAGTGTGCATTCTCCTATTTATGTGCTTCTTTACACACACATACACTCTCTCTCTCTCCAACTCGTTTGTTGCTTGTGCTCCTGCTCTGTATTGACTTGTTTCATGCTGCCTGCTACATGACAGAAGGAGCGAGTCGGAAGGCGGCGTGGAAGAAAGACTTGGCCATGCTCCAAGTTCTCCCTTCGTCTTTTTTTTTTCCCCTCTGGAGGCAGGCCTCCTCGGTGCCATCCCCACACCCACCACCCCCATCCTGCACCGCGTTATCTCATCTGGGCACGCGTTGGCCGCTGCTGGGCCTGCAACGGTACACGGTGTAGAGAAGCAGACCAGGAAATGTGCTGCAACCAAGAGAGAAAAAATGATTTTTCACTCAGGGCTTGGAAGACAGTAAAACAGGATGTAATGATGAATCTGGGTTTGGAAAAACCCGAATAATGGAAGGATCCCAAAGTAATATAAAAGAATAATTATAATGCAAAGAAAAGGCAAATATCACTTAGTATTTTTAAAACTAGCAGCCCAAACTATCAGCTTTAAATGGGCTGCTGTAGGTGGTACTTTTTCTTATGTGCTTTCACCCTTATCATCAAAGAAATTATGGATTTACTCCCAAAAATTCAAACCACCGATTTAGACAAAACATAACCAAAATATGGCCATTATGCTAACAGACAGTAAAGAAAGGAGAAATCAAAATGTGCTATTTGTTCCCCACAACAATGCATTCTACATTTTAGTCTGATATCAGATTGATCAGTTACTATATTTACATATTTATAACCACCTTTTTATGTGAATATTGATGGTTTCATTATGCATCAAAATGTTTAGGTTTATAGAATGAAGTATCATCTACTTGAACAATTAATTAGTCAATAAGCTTTACAATGGCTGTCTGTAGAAAGAATACGAAGTGAAGGGTTTCCATTCATACTGGAAAAGACCCAACATGTTCTCTAACTTCTCTCATATATTTAGAAATCGGGGCAAATATCAAACTGCAGAAACGTCAATATGTCATTTTGTTCTTGAGTGAAGTGTTTTCCCTTGACTTTAGCAGATAAGTAAGACAGTTTGCCAGTGGAATAAGATGATTTATATTTAAAATAAAAACAACTTCAATGTCTTATTTTATATGCATAATATCTAATTATCGTATTTTAAGAGAAAAATATTCATTCCAAGAGCAGATCGTCTTAATCTCCTGCTTAAGTTAATGGTAAAAACACTTATTATGAAAGATTTACTTATTTTTCTATCATTTTTTACAGTGTGAGCTAACCCTGCAAAAACTGAAATATTAGTAAGTTTATTTGTCTTGAAATAATTGTATAATTGTATAATCTGTATTTTTGAGCAGGTTAATAACACAATTTTCCCATCGCCCTCCGATACTTTCACAGGTCCCACTCTGACACCCGCTTCAATAATGTGTTTCAGTATAAATGCAGCAGATAATGAAGATATAATTTTCAGTATAGTAGAACTTGGTTACATTTATGTTCAAAACGAATTAATGTTTTTTGATCACAAATGAAATCTAGTTTTAATTTGACGTTTATTGCACTGACCTGCTTTACTTACAATGAGCCCAGCCTGATGGTGCTTTAGAGACAGGCATCATTTAAGACACTGTTTAATACTGAACAAAACATGTTAATATTGATTATCTTGATATACTGTATATACCTTGATATACTGTATATATATTGTTTATTCTTAATGCACATTTTTCCTCCTTGTTTGCACCTTCTTTAATTACTATGCCAATATGTGACCAGTGAATTTCTCCGCTGTGAGATCAATAAAGCTCATCTAATCATCTAATCTTAATATAAGAATTTAACGCTGGGTTATCTTTAAGCTCAGGTTTGTTTCTAAACTGATATTTTCCCAGTTTTCATTTCTCTGTAGTCTGATTTAATGCATTCCTGTTTAATTCCTGCACCTAATGCTCTAACTTCCTCTGCTCCTGGATAAAACCTGCACTCTGTTGATTCACTCATCTCTATGGACTAAACTCAGTGTAAACAACTGGGACAGCCTGGAGAAGGCAGTGCTGTCAGAGGCGCACAGGCCCACTGGTTGGAGCTGTTACTGGGCAGACCTGCCTGGTACTGTACACCCATACTTCATGGATACCAACTATTCATTTATATGAAAATGTAAACTACGATAATTTTGCGGCATCTGCCTCCATTTGGACTGACTTTATTTCCATCACTGATCAAACTTGATCTGGAGACGTTTACTGAGAGGATAAAGGATGAATATGTTCTACTCAGAATATATCTAATTATCTGCCAGTGCAGTAAGACAGTGGCTTTTGGTGGGACCTCTTGCTGCACCAGCAGATTATTACACTTATTTCCTTTTTAAAAGAAGATTAATAATCCAGCAGAATCTGCCCCTACTTAGTCTATCAATCTCAAAACAAGATGAAAACGACATTTTGGTTCGATGTAAGATTGAAAAGCTTGGTTAGATGGAGTTTTTGGAGTATAACATTGGGATCAATTAAGTGTTTTTAAGTTGAAGTCATTTAGATTTTTACTTTAAAGAAAAAAAAAAGTGTTATATAAAACAATAAGTAACATCAACTTCAATTACTGTACAGAACTGATTTCAGAGCTTAAAGTGACAGCAGCTATCCTCGAAAGCAACATGTCTCTTCCAGATCTATTCTTTTGGCTTACTGCATCTCATGGCTAAATCTACAACACTCAAACTATCTTTTGAGCACAAATATTTACACCTATATATGTTTTATAAATTAATCTTTAATTTAAATCAATGGGTTTTACTGTGTAGCAGAGGTTTTATGTCTGTTTTCTAACATTTTTCTTTAATTTGTAAATCAGTTAAGGCTCCTGTATTTTTCCTGCCTGTGGAGACAGTAAATGCGCTGGACTTTTTTCCACTCGGGATGTATATGTTGGAAGGGTCAGACACGTTTTGGCTGCTCTCCCAGTGAAGCAGTAATCTGAATGCCTTTGCGATGCATGCTAAAGCTGCAGGACAGTGGTGCTGGAGGATGCAGGACAAGGAGAACATTGAACAAAGAAGCAACCACAAAGCCAACAGACTGGAGGAGCTCCAGAGATCCACAGCTACTGTAGTAAAATGATCTGTTGACAATTATTTAAATCTGTTATTAAAAATGATTGGCACTGTTAAAGAAATTGTTACTAGGAAGCCACAGAAGACCCTTTTAAACCAAGCCACAGGATATTTAGGGGACAAAGCAAAGAAAGCAAGGGCAATTTTCTAGTTAGTTTAATACAGTAGATACACTTTGGATTAACCTATTAGACACCAACACCCTTCGTGCACTGAAGGATATAAACTAGTGATCAAATATTGGATGTTCAATCAAATCATTTCTCTGATTGTTTCTCTTGTGTGCTTTCCGTAGATCTTAAAGTCAAAATAAAGTCAAGATAAAGCTTAAAACAATTTTTTATTTAATGTTTGCTTGACATGAAGGTCTCTTCTTTTTGTTTTCTACTTGTTTTTCTGTGTTCCTTTCTTAGCTGGCCAATTAAACCAGCATAGACAGGTGTGAGAGGGAGCTATCACGCCTTCACGCCACAAGGATCCATTGTTTCTGCTAAAAAGTTTAGTTAGACCAGCAGTCAACACCCAACTCTAGCCCTCCTGCACACAGCCACACACAAACAGCACCCACAAACACAAACAAGCTGATGTATTAGCCACATTAGCCTTCTCTTTAGGGGATTTGGAGGTTTGCTAATTGCCAGCTTGTCATTTTAATTGCCCTTACCACCCTCTCCACCTCCCCCATCTACACACAACTTCTTCAGCTACTTTAACAAGACTTCGAACAGCCTGCTGCACCGACAATAAACGCTCACTATCCATGACCTTCTTTTATCTGAATATTTCATTGTGACTTCAGGAAGCAATAAATGATTAAAAACAATGCTGTGTAAAACAATTTTAGGTTTGTTTCTTTGTATTTTTTAGCTTCTAAGGAGTCAGAACTACGGGTAATCCTTTAAAGTTGTCTTAATCAACAACTCTTCAGGCTTTCTGCTCGGCCTCTTTGCCAATTTTCAGGGTAAAGTTGTTATTTTATTTTTTTTTGTAAGCTGCTTAACACTGACCTGTGAATCATTCAAGGTATAAATTGGCACCTAGGTCACACTTTGTTATAATTTCCTTTAATTAATCTTTTGAAAATATTCTAAAACACATTTTTGCAGAAATAAAGTAGTATTTTCAGCTTTAAAGAGATACATTTTTTATCTGTTTGGCTGAAAACTGAGGATAAGATCTTATCCAATTAAAAAACATAATAATGGGCCAATTTATTATTATTATCGTATATTCCATCTTTATGTAGTCATAATTTTCAGAAAGGACCTCTATAAACATTCTTATAATACCTCTTTTATATTTTTTATTTACTGGTTTATGGGAATATTTTGATTTCGATTGGTTGCTTATTTTTCCTCCATATATATATATATATTTTCTGTTTAATTGTCTTTGCAACAAACATTTTCCTTTTTCTGGACACTGAAAAGTGAAATAAAAACAACATAACTTAATGTTACGTACGAAAAGTTATCTTCAGTGAGCTTCCATAGCTTTTCTTCTTAGAAATATATATATATTTTTTAACATTTTAACTCTTTGTGTGATTTTAAACCATAAAAGTAAAAGTCTAATCAGTTTATGTCCAGCATGTGTGGGCTCTGCTCGGATGTTAGCTGCTCTTTTCATGAGCTTAGAGCTGCACAAATCCTTTATGAGAAATCCAATTCTTTATTGCAGACACAAGGAGGCTCCATATTGGTTAATAAGAAAAAAGACAACAGAAAATAACAAGATATAAAAACATGAAAAGACAATGAACCTATTTCATCAAGTGCAATGATTATATAACCAAATTTAAACCTAAAGGTTGCTTCTTTTATAATGAGAATATAACAGATGTAGGATGAAGTTATTTGTGATTTAATTTAATCATCTATTCAGGTGACTTTCAGAACTGATTTTTTTTTAATTGATGTTTCTTTTTCATTTACTCTGACATTTCTTAATTCAACCTTACCTGAACTCTGTCTCCACGTGGTAGGAGCTCTAACCGGAGGCCAGCTGGGTCATGTGGAGCTGCTCCAGCAGAGGCTTCGTTGCGGTCAGGTCAGAGAGGCGCTGGGCGTCCTGGAGGCCATGGACTGGAGCACCATGGGGGACGAGAGCTACCAAGGCCTGAGCTCTGTCACCAACCACCTACTGAGGCTGCCGCTGAACGCAGACAGAGAGGGTACATCTCTGGTTTTTCATTCCCGAGCAGAAAATTAGCCTGTCAGCTAGGTTAGCTATTTGTTGGTCCATTGACCATAAACATCTACAGCCCTTGTTGAATAACATGCTGCTGTCATTTTCCATATCTCTGATGTTGCTGCTATTTCAAATATGCATTACTGTAAAAATATCCATAGCTGTATATTGGTTATTTATTCTCCAGGTGCACAGTTTACAGTACTGTACAGTATTTTATTTTTTTTATCTTTTAACACTTCACTCTTATGTTATTCTTATGCATTTTTCTAAGGTCCTCATTTGTGTGACCATTTTTTTTTTCTATAATCTTTTCGCTACTGCATAACACAAGAATTTCCCCATTATGGGACAATAAAGGATTATGTATTCTATTCTATTCTATTCTATAATGCCAGAATGTTGGAAGGTGTAAAAACATTGGCCATCCTTTGATTAGATCAGTTTAGGAGGCTCCATTGGTGCGATCTAATGTATAAACTAAAACATTTAGCTTAAATAAGCATTCAGTCTGGTTAATTTCACAGGTATAATCAGTAATTGTGATTCTTGATAACCTAAAACCACATTTTAGTTTATTTCTAGTATTTGGAATCCAAATTTTGGAATCTGTAGCTTTGAGCTAAATGAGTTTGCAATGGTTTAGAGGGGTCTTGTTGTAGACAAGCATCAGTCAGGGGAAGGCTGTAAAAAAATCTAAAGGTTGAATATACCAGATAATGCAGGAAGGAAAATAGTAATGGCTTTACATAAACTGGATATTTCTCTGAAATTAGTATAAATACCAGTTGGAGCGAGGGAGGCTAACATCGGCTTTCAGAGAAAGTTCCGATCTTTGTCTGTGTCCTCTTCCAAATCAAATAATGGAAGTCTATGTTTTATGAGAGGCCAGATACATAATAAAATCTGAGGGCTCAGCTGATATGTCCTCACAGGAGGATAGGATAACTCAGAGTAGATACTTATTGCCAATTTAAGATATTTCAAAGAAGGCTGAAGGAAATTGATTGATTGATTGATTGATTGATTGATTGATCTCAGAGTGGAGAAATGTACTTGTTACATCAGCTCAAATAGTCAAAAGAGAAGAATGTGCCAAAGGAAGAAAAAGGTGCATATGATATATACAGTATATACAGTGCATCCACAAATGACAGTTTTTTTTTGTTTTTTTTTTTGTGTATTTCAACAAGGATCAGTTCAAATGTGTAAATTAGTGTGCAGGCAGGTTATTACCCCAGATTTTTTTGTTTGATAAAATAAGCTCTATATTGATCTCTTTAGTCTTTTTACACTGTTGATATCCACTTTAGACTGCCAGTTGTTCCTATATGAACCAGGCATAATGTGCATTAAAAGAAAAGTGATAAAAATGTATGTATTAAATAGATCTTGGTGTGTCTCTGCCCTGCATTCAGCCCAGCTGGAAGCTGCTCTGCGGGTGTTTTACGCTCCGGCTGCCCCCCTTTCTAATACAGTGATACTGGAGTACAGGGAGCCAGTCAGCAAGTATGCTCGCCGCCTTTTTCACCACCTCCTCAGGTAACAACACCTTCTCCATGCCGCTGCTGCTCTGTTCTTAATTTGATGCTCTGAGGGAGAAATCTGCTTTGTGCATCCCCACTGGGGTCCAGGTCAGCTTCTGTAGAGCTCTTCTGGCAGTAAAAGAAAAGGCTGTAATTCTTTCGCGGGCCACAGTTCAGTGATGTGAAATGTAAAACCCATTCAGAGAGTATTTTTAACACACTACTGGAGCACATTGTTGGCTTTATCTGCGTCCAAAAACGTCTTTTAAAAATGACAACCGTAGAGAAAACAAATTTAACACTCCTTATTTTCCTCTTGCTCGTTCTATTTTGACATTTCTAAAAAGGACGTAGCTTTTGAATTTCATCAGTCACACACACACAGCAGTGCCGCTTTGAGTCATTCATGAGGCAAAGCATCACACATAGACCTGTTTAACTGTCGTTTCATTTTCCCTTCTGCCATTAGAGCCTTTTGAAACGCCTGTTTGACTGAAATAGACCCTGTTGTTCCCACACACTGCTGCTCACAGCTCTCCATCTAGCAAATACCTCCTCTCTCCTCCTCTGTACCAGAGCTGGCGTGTTGTTTGGACTCCCTCCTCTTCCTCCTCCTCCTCCCTTATCACCTGCCTGCATTCTTTTTCTCTCCATTAACATCAAATAACGAAGCTCCCCCCCTTCTGCTTGTTTATTTGTTTCATGTTGGATGTAGACGGGGAAAGTTGCGGTGGTTCGCTCTCTCTTTTGGCTTTAATTCTGGAAAATAAAAAAAAGCTCACTATTTACTGTCCACTTATTGGCAGTGTAGTGCACAGGGAATTATGTGCATATCGCTGGATTTAATTGTCTGTGTGCAACAATAAAAAGCTAGGAGGGAAAATGTACCTCAGGCTGATTCATCTCTAAATCTTAGTGAGGGATTTATTTTTCTCTGTTTTCCTTTGCAGGCATCAGCGTTTTGAGAAAGCTTTCCTCCTCGCTGTAGACTTGGAGGACCGAGATTTATTCATGGTGAGTTGAAAGAAATTTAGATTTTGAGTAGTAAACAGTAAAAAAGGTGGAACTGAAACAATGAAATACTGTAGATTCTAAAACATCCTTTACATTGGTTTTTATACTAGCTTCTGTTTGTCCTCTCTGGGCTACCGTAGACAGATAATAATGCAACAAGGAAGGTGGTTTATGTGTGTTTGACCATCCAAGCATCCATCCATGACTGCATCCAACCATCATCCATACATCCATCATTGCATCAAACCGTCATCCTCCATCCATCCATTCTTCCATCCATCCATTAAGCCATCCATCCATCCACCCATTCATCCATCCATCAATCCATCCATCCATTAAGCCATCCATCCATCCATCCATCCATCCATCCATCCATCCATCCACCCATTCATCCATCCATTAAGCCATCCATCCATCCACCCATTCATCCATCCATTAAGCCATCCATCCATCCACCCATTCATCCATCCATTAAGCCATCCATCCATCCATCCACCCGCCCATTCATCTATCCATCAATCCATCCATCCATTAAGCCATCCATTCATCCATCCATCCATCCATCCTTTAAGCCATCCATCCATCCATCCACCTTTCCATCCATCCATTATCCATCCATCCATCCATCCTTTAAGCCATCCTTCCATCCATCCACCTTTCCATTCATCCATTCATTAAGCCATCCATCCATCCATCCACCTTTCCATCCATCCATCCATCCATCCATCCATCCATCCATCCATCCATCCATCCATCCATCCATCCATCCATCCATCCATCCATGCATCCTCCATATTTACAAACTCCTGTTTAAAATCAGCCTCTGTGGAAGATTTAAGCTTGGTGAAATAAACTCCTTGAAATACAAATCTAGATACTTGCACCATAATATGAGTTCAAAAGCAAATTTATGCAAAGTAATAATAAGTTATTACAAACTGAATATCAGATTAGAACAAGATTTCCTGTCATGAGCATCTCCTGATATTAAAACGCCTACCTTCCTTTCAAAGCGAAGTCTATCTCACAAAGTATTTTTCCAGGTTCTTTGTTGACATGACTCTGTCTGGTAAAACTGTTATTGTGGATCACACAATTACAATTCAATTCTTAAAAATATTCACCAATATATTTAGGATTTTAAGCCATAAAAAAACATCTGTTCATAATTATTTACAATTTTTGCCATGAAAATAGCCAAAAAAGACGCACCCTGTTTCCTCTGCCTCTCCTCCACATGCTGCTACAACCATCTGTTTTCAAATACAGCTCATATGACCTAAATTGGTAAGACCATATAAGGTGTGGCATAGAACAGAACCTTGTGATGTAATCACAGGAAGTTTCTCTAGTACAAATTGTTTCATGGCACAAATATGGGTAAGGATATGAAAAAAGTCTCCACTCTTTGGAAACGGAAGAAGGTTGGAGCTTCAGTAGTCCTAGGAGGAAAAGTTGGGAAAGTAAGATTTTTTTTTATAAATTGTTATTACCTAAAACTCCCTTTATTGTATTTTTTATTCTAAGATTATGTGGGATGCTTAGTCTGGAGGTTATCGTTCAGATCTCTATATAGTGGCTCTGCTGTTTATTTTAGCATCATAGGGGAGTTTGTCTTTGCAGGATTTTTGTAAACAATAGTTTATTATTCTGTAGTCGGCAAAAAGTCACCACAGTGTTAAAGCTGTGAGAAGAAAACTAATATCCCGTCCTACCTGACAGTTTTCTGAGGATCTGGAAAGGTTTAAAAAACTGGGGATATTGTTGCTTTGTAAAACATTAAAACCTTAGGATTAAGGCCTTTTTAAATGATTACCATATTTTGCTTTTGACATTAATCAGATTAGGCCAACTGATTAATATTTGGCCTCCAGAGGATTAGATATCGGCTCACTCTCCAGCACCTTTTATACGAGCTTCCTGCAGGCCCCTCAGTGCCATACACCCCATTTTAGTTGTTCATTCACTGTTAAACCCTTCTTACTTGCATTTGCACATGACTTGTAACCCACAAAAGTGTGTGTGTGTGTGTGCTAGTGTGTGTGCTGCGTGTCAGAGAGCAGGTGTGATCTCAGTGTGGGCCCCTGTCTTTTCACAACTCCAGGGCCTCTACTCGGCCTCAGCTCTGCTCATCTAACTCAAACTTGTTCTTTCTTCCACATGTTTCTCTAGGTGTTTTTTTTTTTTAAAGTGGGGGCCACCTTTTTGCGCCATGCTTCACCAGCATCAACACAAAAAACACTCACTCATGCTCCTCTCTATCCCTCAATCGCACTGATAGCGCCGCTTCCAATTCCCTCCCCACTAATAGGCAGGGCTGCAGGGAAGCCGAATTGAAAAGGTGGAGTCAAGCCGGTGAACCTTGAAAGAGTGAAGGAAAGAGGGGCCGGGTGGGGGGGGGGTCATTGAGTAGATAGAAGGTTAACATTACATTTTAAGATTTTATTTTGCATCAGAAAGGTTAAAAACAAATAAAAACTTCTGTTTCTTTTTTGAAGTCTTAAAAGATAAGAAAACAAGACAAGAAAACTGCAATGTCTGCCTATAACTGGTCTGATTTAAGGTAGATTAAACAGTAGGAGGTGGCTTCATCTGGGAATCAATCTAAAGCTTAAAGCCAAACAAAATGTATCCGTAGCTAAAATGGAACCTAAAGAATTACCACCGGGCGTAAACATAAACTATATTGCTAAAATCATGGGGTCCAAATCGGTGAATTCTGATGTTAGAAGAACTGTCATGGCTGCATGCATCACTGCCTTCACACAGAGTCACCCTCATCTTTGTAGAGCATTTTTGAAATAATTTATGATGCAATTTTGGTTTTCTCATCCAGAAATCCTGCCCCTTAACTTTGTGTAAGATAATCAAAACACCAAATCTGGTCTTATGAACTTTTTATCCAAAAGTTTAAAGTCGTAGGGAAATCATATTTAAAAGTCAAATCATTCTGGCTTAAACATTTATATAAATGTACTCTTTATCAGACGATATTTGACCAAAATTTAGATAATTTCTATATATTTAAAAAAAAAAAAAAAAACCTGTCTTAAAATCTGTCTGGTTTATTCAGTTATCTTATGCAGGCCAATTAATTATAGGTCAGCCTTTACACCTAAATTCGTCCAATCATATATCAACAGCCATCTGTCAATCATTTTTTTTTTTCGGTCATAGCATCTTGAAACATATGTCGCAGCTAATATACGCAATGATGGAAATCAGAAAAGAGAATCATTTCCTTTCCCATTGAGTTCTGTCCCAGTGTTCATGGGGATGGCCGTCTGTGTCTTCAGCAGGCGTAGAGCTAACAGAACTGGCAGCGTTGCGAGGCAAGGGCTCAAACATGTACGGCTGGAAGCCTTCTACACCAAACCAAGCTTCTGCCGCCCTGGCGTCCTCTTCCACAACATCTTCGTCCCCGCTTTCCTCCTCTAAACAACCACGACCTCCAACACAAAACTCCTCTTGCATGTTTCTGCTGTCCATAGCGTTTCTTGACAGTGTCGTTTCTAAGTAAAAAATTTAGTGCTACTTGGTCCCAATGGAATTTCCCATTGGGAATCTACTAGCACTAAGTTGCTGCAACAATCCCGCCCTCTTGATAAACGGCAATCACATTCACTTTTTTCACTCGTGTAAAGTCATGCACCACTCTGGAGAATTCAGAAATGCAACAGTTGGAACAGCCACTTCCCTAAGACTTTCAAAATATATAAGGAACCATGTTGCCATTATTAGACAAAGCTATTTTCATTAATTACTATGAAGTATAGTCCTGCACTGGGTCGGGTAACTGGTGGGCATCTGTATAAAATGTACATCTATAGATAGAAAAAAACAGGTGCTGTCAAACCCGGGTTTTAAAACGGGATAATTGCCGGTAGCAGTTAAGGTCTCGTTTATGAACTCTATGGGTGCGGGCGGATAAAATTTTGAAAAATCAGACCCGTGCAGGACTGTGAAGTATTAACATAATTTTCTATAATTACCTGATCAACAGTAAAGTAACTTGCTATTTGCTGACAGTCAGCAAGCTGCGCTGTTCATGCAGAGCTTTACAATACTTTGAATTTGGTTTGTCACCAGGTTTTAGTCATTTCACCAAGTATTGACAACGCCTCTTAATTAGTCAGCTGAAAATTATAAACTTAGTAACAACAGGGTGTTAAAATTAAAGATCTCATCACATGTTCAATACAAGTGAAACAACATACTTCTGAGCTCTTTTTGAAGATGCATCCTCATTTGTGGAACATCTTTTTAAATGAAACACAAGCTGTTGCAGCCTTTGACTCTTTTACCATCTTTTTAAACATGAGCCCCTTTTGTAGCGGCAACAATGGAAATCTGCTCATATCTGGTTCAGTGGTTTCAGAAGATACCGGTCGATCCTCGTCATCCCAGATCCGTAACAAAGTTAATGCTCATTCACAGCAAACTGTTTCAAGCACTTTTTAACCTCAGCGACCAAGAGAGCAGCAGCTCATTGTCTGCAAAGAGCGTAAGGAGAAAGAGAAAGGGGGCGCATTGACATTTCACCCCTCGCCCTGTCCTTCGCTCTAATTAGGTTGTGTTGTTGCTTTAACCCGCTGCTTGGCTGATTGGGCTGAGGTTGCGAGGGTTAATGAGGGCAACCCCCCCCACCACCACCCTCACCAAACTCTTTGTAACTTACTAACTTGCCCGCAGAACTCAATAACGCCCCGTCAACCTGACAGAATGCACTCCAAGATAACATGGACGCCATGGCCTCTCCTAGAAATGCTCAGCATGATGCCCTCCTCCCCACCATGACACGACCCTCCATTGTTTCCGAGCTAACAATAGAGGTCCTTCAAGCTTTCTCTCCCCCCAAAAAACAGAAAGCTTTTGTTAAAGTGAAGCACTTAGTGTTGGGTTAAATTGAGGGGGAGGAGGAACGGTAGGGGGGTGGAGGTTGGTTGCTGGTGGTTAGGAAGGGGGGCTACTAATTCATTGGCAATTTCTTTTTTTAAATT